AACGACACCAAGCAACAAAACGACACCAACCAACGAAACGACACCAACCAACAAAACGGCACGAATCAACAAAACGGCACTGACCAACCAAACGACAAATCACTTCACGACACCAATGAACAACGCGAAATCCACCGACCGCCAACCAAGCATAAAATCAACCGACACAACGAAACCAACCCATAGAGCCAGACCAACCACTGGATTCGTGAGTCGGGGTAGTCATGGAAGTGAGCCGCTGCAGCCCGCGGAAGCCATTAACAGTGACCAGAGCACCGCAATGCAGCAACGTCCCCGGGCGGCGGCGGGAGTCTTGGATCTCCCGCGGGACTGGAGCGTAGCGAGTTCGTCCTGGGTCCGGTTTAGTGAAGTGAAGAATTTCGGGGTGCTTGCATGGCAAAAACCTTCACTTCACTAATCTGGGGCCCCTGGAGCCCCAGGGCGTTTCAGGTCCCCTCGCTGTCTGGGTAGTCCAGGGGGCGCAGTGGCGGCTTACCAGAGGCCCTGTTCCCTAGCCTCACTTGCTTTCACCCGTGGTGCTCGACGGCCGTCTCGGAGCTGTCTTGTGGCGGTCTGGGGCAATCCCGAAGCCTCTTGGAGCCATCCCAAGGCCCCAAGGCGCCACCAATGGGGGCCCCAAGAGAGCTCCCAGAGGGCCCCGAAAGGCCTACAACAGATTGCACGTTCGCGCGAATTCTTTGTACCACTTTGGGGGGTCCCTCTTGGGGCCCTCGGGGAACGTTCTTGGGGCCCTCCGAGGGCCCACTGGGGCCCCGGGAAGGCCCCAAGAACGCTCCCAGAGGGCCCCAAGAATGCTCCAAGAGGGCCCCAAGAGGACCCCCACAAGTGACAAAAACTATTTGCATGAGGGTGCAACTTACTCGGCGCCTCTTGGGGCGCTCTTGGAGCCGTGCTGGGCGCCACTCGTGGACGACATGGGCTGGGCGACGGCATGTGGACCCTGTCGCTTGGGCCATCGGGGGTGCTCCCCAATGGGGCCACGAAGCTTGTGAGCGTATGACGGAATGGGCTGGGCGGCGGCCTGTGGGCCCTGCCTGTGGGGCCGTCGGTGTAGCTCCCCGTGGGGCCACGAAGCGTGTGAAACGTATGCCGAAATATGCTGGGCGGCGGCCTGGGAAACCTGCCGCTGGGACCTTTTTTTGGTGGAGCTGCCTATAGGGGCACGAAATGTTTGAAGGTGTCATCAATGTGGCCTGGGCGACGGCATGTGGACCTTGCCGCCGGGACCTCCGATGAGCTCCTCATGGGGACACGAAGCGTCTGAGGGGCGTGCCGACATGGGCTGGGCGGCGCACTAAGGACCCTGCCGATGGGGCCTTCGGTGGAGCACCTCACAAGGCCACGAGACTTGCGGGGGATGTGGCGAAGCAGAGACGCGGGGGAACAAGGGGGGTGTTTTGATGATGTTGATGAGGATGGTGGTGGTATTGATGATGGAGACGGCGAGAATGCTGATGATGCTGATGATGATGGTGATGGCGACGATGACGATGGACGATGACGACGGAGACACGCGGAGAGCAGGGGCAGATACGCGAAGAGGGAGGACGAGGGAGGGGGCCGGAAGGAATGACGCGGGGCGGTGTCTCTTCAAAACGAAGAACCAACACTGCAATATGGTAGGAAATTTCTGGACGACCCCCCCCCGTGGCGCGGTCAATGTCCGCGACAGCATCGCTGGCACTACGAACGAAATGATCGAACTCTTCCTGCGACGTTACCCGCGGGGTGGATCAGCCAAGGATGGGGGTCGAAATCGCCCCAGCGCAAAGCAAATGTACAATCCTGAGAAACCCCAGCCCACATCAACCGATCCGCAACGAGCACGCAAGCCTTTGACGACCCCAACGCACGTGACATCGCATAACGCGACGCGCCATCGAAAACGTTCGACGCGCGGCCTCGGAATGACATCGGGCTTCATGGAACGTCGAATGGAAAACATGAAAAACCGCCCTGTGGGCTCCGAGACCCAAAATTACTGATGTGAAGGATTTCGGCTCGTCGACTCCGCTGCGACCAGCGTGGACGCCGCCTTCTCAGCACGAAGGCTGGCATCGCGTAGCTGCGCTGCCGTGGCCTTGGCACGGTCCCGTGACTCACGGGCTGACCGCAGCTGCGCCTCCACCTCAGCGAGCGCCTCCCCCCACAGGCCCGACGAGCAGTCGTACTCCGCCTCGAGCCACTTCTTCTTGCGCAGCCGCTTCTCGACCTCGCTCGGCCCTTTGGCCCAGGGTCGCGCGCTCTCCTGGCCCGCTCCGGCACCGGCCTTGGCAGAGGTGTCCTGCAGGGCCTTGACCTTCGCCTGGAAAGCCTTCTCACGCTCCTCGACCGCCTTGACCTTCGCCGCCAAGGAGACCGTCTGCTGCTTCGCGGGTAGAGGAATGTTGGGTCAACCCGAACCGTCCCGGCATTTCTATAGGCATACCGCGAAATGCTCTAAGAACCCAAAAATGTTCCAAGAACCCCAAAAACGTTCTGAGAACATGAGTTCGATGCGTTAAACCTTGACAGTCCCCGCCAAATATGTTCTAAGAAAAATTCGTGCAGACCACAAAAGGTTCTTAGAACATTCTTTGGTGGGCCTAGAGGCAAGCCAGGACGCTTCGCCACTGCATGAATATGGGTACATTTTCCTCCTCTGACCCTTCGCCGGAGAACAACACGCGGCAGAAACACACAACCTGACGGAACTCCGCGCGCATCTCTCGGATAGGCGCTGGGCCCCCTTCTCCGGGGCGCGCGCGGGGGGCGGACGTCGCACGGGCCGGCTAGCTCTCTGGCACACTAGCCGCGTCATCACAGTCAACCCTGAAGTCGGGCGTGCCCCTCTACAGGAGACATACTCCCAAATAGTTATAAAAAAGAGTATGGGGACGCTCTTTTGACAATAATTGTTACCGCTTTCCGCCCGCTGAAGGATGGCGAAACCGCGCGTTCCTAGGAGGGGTGGGCTATCAGGACCCTAAATATCGGGATGAACAGGCGATTCGGGGTCGATGCATCCCCAATTTCCCACCCCCGTATCGTTTCCCCTGAAGTGAACCCTGCTTGGGATGGGCGATATCCCAGCGCTGGTCGAACCCGCAAGGGTAGGATTCGCGAGTGGTCGCAGACCCTGAGGAACAAAGATCGGGGGGGACTGGCAAAGGGGGGGAACATCCACCTGGAATCGGGAACAAGTCACCGATAGATCGGCGATAGGTCCACGATAACGAATCCGGACGTTAGCGGGCGGGGTGCTATCAGACGGCAATCGGCGATCAATGGGCAATTTGGGGCCGATGCATTCCCCTCCTGTCGTTGCCCCTGAGACCCGGACAGGAAAGACCTCTGGTGCGCGGAGTACAGCCAGACCTAGGACAGAAGAACACTCGACAAGAACAGGAGGCCCTCCGCCGGCAAAAACACACCGAACATTCGAGGGTACCCCCCCCCAGAATGCGCAAGAGCATCCAAAGAACACGAAGACCATTAAGGCACCCTCCCCGAACCCACCCTGATGTTATACCTCGGTCCTGCCGAAAATGATTTCTAGGTCAGAACTGCGGTCTCCGGCGGCCGCGCGGGACGATCCCGGCACCCCTGGAAATCTCTCGGCGAGGCACAGCCGCTGGAACACATCCCGAGGCTGGAAAACCGCCGAGAACCGACGAAAACGTCCGCAAACTTCCAATCGAACCCGAACACTTCCCCGGCACCCCGATGTTATGCCCCAGTCCGACTGCACCGCTCGCGGCACGCGCTGCGACGGCAGCGGCCCGCCAGCCCCGGGGGGCTGCTCTCGCCGACCCCCCGCCAACCCGAAGGCTGCGAGCCAGAGGCCCCGCTCTGACGGAGGCAGCCCCTCTTCCATCAAGCTTCGATCCTCTTCCTCCTCCTCCTCCGCCCTCCATCCTCCGGCGCCTCCCCCGGTCCTCCTCCAACTCCTGCTCTCGGGTCCCCCGCCGATCCTCGGGGAAAGCGAGATGCAGTTCTCGGGCCCTGAATGCCCCCGCTTGGGCCTAACGGGCCCCTCTAGGGGCCCCAAGCGGCTCCGTTTCGGCCACCCCCGCTGCCGCCCCCCCCCATCTATCGCCCCCCACCCCCACCACGCGACGCCCAATTCGCGGCAAAACTCGGATATCTGGCGACCGTTCGGGACGATTCTGATGGGCCTGTTTTCCACCACCACCACCACCATGAGTTGGAGGGGGGAAGGAGGAGAACGAGGAGGAGGAGGACGAGAAGGAGGAGGAGGAGGAGGAGGAGGAAGAGGAGGACGACGAAAAGGAGGAGGAGCGAGGAGGAGGAGGAGGAGCAGGAGGAGGAGGAGGAGGAGGAGGGCCCCCTCCCTCTCCGACTTATGGTGGTGGTGGTGGTGGAAAACAGGCCCATCAGGTTCGGGCATCCCGAGGACGCTATCGCGAGAGGTCCTTCCTGCGAAGGGCAGCGTCCCCACGACTGTTCCCTTCCCTCCCTCGCTCCTCCTCCTCTCCTCGCTCGATTCGCTCCTCCCTCCTCGCTCCTCGCCCCTCCTCCTCCTCCTCCTCCTCCTCCTCCTCCTCCTCCTCGCTTTGCACACAGAGCCCCCCAGGGTGCCCGTCCGCCCAATCGGTCACGGTGCCTCTTGGGGTGGTCTCTTGCCTGTGACCGTGTAGTCGAGGGGCGGGAGAGCCCAGAATCGAATCGATAAGTCGGATCGGCGATCGAAATGAATCGGATCAGCGAACATCGGCAACCAAGTCAGAATAAAAACGATCGGTTGACATCGGCAGGCTAATATGCCTCCAATGAGAAATCGGAGCCCAAATCGGAATCCCAGGTCGAACCGAAACGAAATCGGAAACCGTCAAAGTCGAATCGAATCGAACCAGATGGATCGAAATGAGCCCTCGAGTGGGGAGAGGGAGAAACAATCAACAACAAAAAACGGAAACATAACCGACGAAACACACGGACCAAAAAAATAAAACAAACACCTGCCCTGCCCTGACGGCCTGCCCGCAGCGAGAGGTGTACAGCTCGCCCATGCCGACCTGCTCGCTGGCGAGGGCCTGGCCAGGCGAGAGGCAGAAGGCTCCCCCTTCCTGATGATGACCAAGATGATGATGATGATGATGAGGAGGAGGAGGAGGAGGAGGAGGAGGAGGAGGAGAATGGTGATGATGCTGATGATGATGGTGATGATGCTGATGATGATGATGGTGATAATGAACACCAGCATCACCATCATCATCATCAGCATCATCATAAGCAGCATCAGCAACAGCATCAGACCAACGCCACCATCATCAGCAGCATCACCATCAGCCGCATCATCATCATCATCATCATCATCATCATCAGCAGCATCATAATTAGCATCAGCATCACCATCAGCATCACCACCATCATCATCATCATCATCATCATCATCATCCTCATGCTCCTGCTCCTGCTCCTCCTCCTCCTCCTCCTCCTCCTCCTCCTCCTCCTCCTCCTCTCATCATCATCATCATCATCATCATCATCATCATCATCATCATCATCATCATCATCATCATCATCATCATCATCATCATCATCATCATCTCCCACCCCACCAGTCGTAGTGGGGGACTCAGACGAGGAGTACTGGAACTCTTCCTCTCGAAGAAAGCACGGAGGGGCAGTGAGAATGCAGAGGGGGAGACGTGGCGAGGGAGGTGGAGCCAAGGAGAGGGGCTCTGCGCTAGAGGGTTGTGCGACTGAGACGCGTTTTGAATTCGCAAGAGCGGAGCGGAAGCGGGACACGGCGATGGGGGAGAAAATGGAGAGATAGGCGAGGGGTAGCGGGGGGTAGCGAGAGGGAAGAGGACAGAGAAATCTGCATCGGATTTGGGCCAGATGGTGATCGCACGCCTGTCGCAATGTCCTATCCAAGTGTTGCCATGTATGTCGGAAATTGGGGAGTGAGATCGCAGTGAAACAAAGAGACCCCTACCGGGAAATCGGTTCAGGTTTCGTGTCGTGCGTGCGGGCGAGGCGAAGCTGCGTGGGCGGGCGATAATAATGATCTCGCCCTGCCTAGGGCGAAACAGGGCTCAATGTCTCTGCTCCCCCCGAATGGCCGGCGGTGGCCCGGGGGTGTCCTGCCGGTGTCCCGCGATGGTCCATGCTTTCCCGTGGCGCGGTATCCCGCGGTGCGGTGTCCTGTGGTGTCCCGTCGAGGTCGACAGTAAGATCGATAGTGGGTTCGATAGTGAGATCGGTGGCAAGATCGATGCCGAGATCGATCGCGAGATCGATCAACAAATCGTTAGTGAGATCGATCCCGAGGTCGATTGTGAGATCGATAGATCGTGAGACAGATAGATAGACGAAGACAATGAGGTATATGGGTAAATGGAGAGTGCAAAGTGAGCTCGTAGTGGGATCGATCGCTGGTGACATCGATAGCAGGATCCAGTGGTCACGAGGTCGATAGATAGAAACATCGGACATCTAGAATGAGATGGGTGGTGAAACCGATTGATCGTGAGACGGTGCCCAGGGGACGCTCGCCGCTGTGCAAACATGCCTTGGACCATCTTCGGCGCGCCACCGGGGGCCGCGCGCAAAGAAGTGCCACATATGCTGCAGTGGAGGTGGCATTTATAGCTGCCTGCGATTCCAGCGGTGACGAGTCATTGGCCGTGCCGCTGGCAAGGCTCTGCCGGCCAAGGTTGCTGGATGCACTGCTGCTGGTGCTCGCTGCGCGTTTGACGATGCCCCGTTTATCATCAGCATCGCCGCCACGCATCGCCACTACGACAGGCATTGTAACTAGCATCACCCCCGTGCACCGCCATCATGCACCGTCACCAACATTGTCGTGGTGCGTCGTGGCCAACTCGTCGTCACAAGCGTCGCCACGATCACAGCCACTGCAATCGTCATCAATTGCCCCCACCCCCATTATAACCTCCTTATCACCCGAACGGTGGTCGTCTAGGTACCTATACGACCACCCTTCGGGTGGCAAACAAATTTTGGTGGGGGGGAACTACCTGATGATCACTGCGATAGGACACCATCCGGACACCCTTGGGACAACTAAAAGCCACCATCAGGACACCATCGGGACACCATCAGAACACCATCGGCACACCCTTGTGGTCAATCCATCCACCATTGCTCTATCGATCTCCATTTCGGACTCACTATAGGTCTCTCTATCGATCTCACTCTATATATACACACCATTATATGCGAATCAATCGCACTGTCGGTCATACCGCCGATCTAGCGATTGATCTCGTAATAAATGTTTGCCGATAACACTATCTGTCTCACTATCGGTATACTGGTCTCACAATCGACCGCACCATCTCACTATCGGAGTCAATCTGTTCATCGACCTCACTGTTGATCTCCCCGTCGGTCACCCTATCATTTATCAGAATCACGATCAACCAGTCTCACTACCCATCTCACACTCGATCCCTCCATATACCTATCGACCGCACTATCGATCGATCTCACCATCTACTCATCTAATGATTCCACGGGACAACCATCGGACAACCATCGGGACACCATCGAAACAGCATCGTGACACCATCGGAACACCATGTGGACACCATGGGACACCGTGTGGACACCATGTGGACACCATGTGGACACCATGTGGACACCCGTGTGGACACTATGCGGACACCCATGTGGACACCATGTGGACACCATGTGGACACCGTCCGAACACAATCGGTGCACCACCGATCGAGACACCATCGGAACACCATATGGACCCCATAGAGACGTCATCGGGACACCATCGGAACGCCCGCGGATCACCGGCGGCCAACCGGTCGAAGAATCATTTAAACTGGTTCCGCCCTAACAGCGGCGGGTTCAGCTCTCGGCCGCCCACGCGACGTCGCCTCGCCCGAACGCAAGACACGAACACGAAACCAAAACCGATGTCCCGGCGGTAGTGCGGTCAATTCGATCTCACCCCCCAACCTCCCATATACATGCATGCAGATTTGCTTGAGGTGGCCGAACGGTCGTGCACTGTCCCTGGGTGCGTGGCTGAAGTGGGATTCCGCAGTACGGATTCTCTTTGTTATCGATGTTTTGTGGCTGTTGTGTTGTTGCTGTTGCTTGTTACTGTTTGGTGTCGTCCCACCCGCGACCAGCCCCGCGACCCACCCGCGATCAACCCCGCGACCCACCCGCGACCCACCCACGACCCTTCCGCGACCCACCCGCCACACACCCGCGACCCACCCCACCCCGCGACCCACCCGCGACCCACCCGAGACCCTCCCGTGATCCACCCGCGACCCAGCCGCGACTCGGCCCGCGGTCCCACCCGCGACCCGCCCACATTGCTTTAACGAAAAATCGGCGCCTGCGGCGGGAACGTTGTACAACTTGTAAAAAGTAGGCGCCTGCGGCGGGCGCTTGCAGAGCCTCTCAGACTGCCGACGCCCCCGCCGCCCCCTCACTCTTACCCGCCGCAACTGCGGGGTGCTCCCGAAGGCACGACACGAACACGAAACTAAAACCGATTTCCCGGCGGGGGGTCTCCAATTCAATTCGATATCACCCCCCAACCTCCTGTACACATGTATGTAGATTTACATATAAATATCGGTATGCACATACACATGTTTATATAGGTGTGTATATATATATATGTGTGTGTGTTCCTGGGTATATTGGGATAGCACCGCTATTCGCTTGGCTGTGGAGGGCCGCTGGGGCCAAGGACCCCTCGGGCCCTGCTGGTATCAATGCCCCCCCCGCCCGCACATTCGCTTGATCGCCGGCTCGGCGGTCCCACGAGTCGGTCGGGCACAGCAGGGCAACTGTGCAGCGCATGTGCGCACAGAGGGGCGAGGAGACGGCGAGCGGTTGCCGAGGAGGACAAGGAAAGGAAGGCGGCCCCTTGAACACGGTGAAGGAGTTAGATCGGGCGGATGGGTGTTGGGGCTAGAGCGAGTCAGGAGGCCAGCTCAGATCCAGAAAGGGCTGGACATTCTCGAGGCAGATGTTCGATGTGCAGTGAGGTTTCGCCCGAGGTTTAGCGTTGGTACGGTGTGGTGAGGGTGCATTTTGTTGTGTCTTTCTTTTGTTGTTGTTTGAATTTCTCTCTTTTCTGTAAAAAATCTTCTAGCACTGGCGCGCCTGAGGGTGGCACGCCAGGTCTGCGACGCAGGCATGCAACAAACATAATAGTCGTTCGCAACGCATGGTGAGGGGAAGCATCGACGCAGCGTGCACCCGAACCGTAAGCATCCTGCCCCGTGAGCCGCCCCGCGCGGCGTGCGGCGCAGCCACCTTGCCTTTAGCCTCGATCCTGAAAAACAATACCTGGTGGTGACTTCACTCTATTGTCTCTGGGTTGATGGTAGCTTCACGCTATTGTCTCTGGGTAAACTCCCTGCAACCTGGATCCTGAAAAACCGTGCATGTATGAGGGCGTGTGGTTCGCGGCGCTCGTCTCTGCAGCCCACGCGGGCCATTACAAGCCTCGCCCTGTGCAGCAAGAGCACATCATGGGGAACGCAAGGCCGAGGCCGGCCCTGGACCCACAGCAGGTCCCGCTGCACACACACACACACACAGGAACGACCCCGAGGATCCGAGCCCCCTGTTTCGAGCAGGGGATCGACTACAGAATTGGTGTACCCCAAATTTGATTTCCTGGTCAATTCTACATACAAAGCATTGCAACTCTGATGGGTTCGAAAAGCAAAACAACAAGTTCGGGGTGAGTCAATTCTGTAGTCGATCCCTTACTCGACTCCTGAGCCCAAAGGGGTCCTCACTTCAGCGCCTTGCCTGTACGCAGTCCTGGGAGTCCTGGGAGTCTGGGCCATCTGGGACCATCTCGCTACAGTCGGACCTGGGCCAGAAGAACATCTCTCAAGACTATGAGACACTCCGTCTGCCAAGGCAAACGGAGCATCCAAGGGTACCCTCCTCAGGATGCCTAAGACATCACAAGCAGCGCGAAGAACACCAGGGTACCCTCCCAGAACTGACCTCGACCTTATACCCTCGGTCCGACCGAAAATGGGTTTGGGGTCAAAACTCGGGTCTCCAGCGGCCGTTCGTGACGATCCTGGCACCCCCGGAACGCTCTCGGCGAGGCGCAGCCGCTGGAACGCATCCCGAAGCTGGAAAACCTCCGAGAATCAACGAAAGCGTCAGCAAACCTCCTATCTCGAACCCGAAAACGAGGGAAAACCCCCGACCTTGATCCCAAACCTCGATCGCACCGTACCACGGCCTCCTGCTGCCCTCGGCCTCGACTGCAGCGCCCAAAAACCTGCAGAGGCGGCGGCGGAGGAGGAGGAGGAGGATAATCAAAACGAGCAAGAAGAGGAGAGGCAGGAACAGGAGGAGGAGGAAGAGGAGGAGGAGCAGCCCGCAGAGGCAGCGGGCGCATGGCGCGCGGGCTCCAGGACGAAACCGAGCTGCATCATGGCGCCCGCGCAGGCCATCGCCACCCTCCTGGCCGGGGGGGTCCGCGCGCGGCCTCGAGACACAGCCAGGGCGAGGATCAAATCGGGTGAGGATAAATCGGGAACATCCGAGATCCAGCGGCTCTGAAGGATTCTGGTTGACCTAAAAGGGGGTCCAGCTGAACAGGGGTGGTGCAATAGATTTGGGGCAGGTGTATTGCAAGTGTATTGCGCCAGAGAATTGTATTGCACTGTGTTGCGAATCGGGTATTGCGCGCGAAAATCTAGCAATACACTCGCACACCGGATTGTATTGCACGTCCCAATCCTATTGCGACCCCACAAATCTATTACACCAAATCTGTTGCACCCCCCCCCCTTTTGCTGAACTCCCTTTTGGCTCAACAAGAAAGATGTTTACGTGTGCAAAGTCAGAGCCTGAATTTAGTCATCAACCTCGCCCTTCTCTTGGCGTGATCAACCGGAGAACTACCTTTCTCTCCGCTTCTGCTCCTCGGTGCGCCGCTCGCGCTCCCCTCCGGCTCTTATCCTTCGCCCCCCTTCTCTATCCTTAGCCGCTCCCTGCTCCAATTGTCCGTCATTCGCTTGGCTCCGGATGTGGCCCTCGAGGCTTTGGCATCGGACCTCCCCTCCTCTATTCTTCGCCCCCCCCCTGCGCGACTGTCCAGACCGTTGCGCCTCCCGCTAAAAAATCGCGAGAGTCCGGGCCCCCCGCGACGAATTCGCGAGAGTCCCGCGAAAGATTTGCGGGAACCCTTCGCGCCGTGCACTGTCCTCCCAGGCGCCCCCCCGGGCTACCTCGCCCCCGTGGGACCCCCTTGGGCGATGCGCGAGGGCTGTTCCCGCGCGAGACCACCCCGGGCGACTCGTGCAGGCACTGAGTGGCGGAGACCTCCCTGGGCGATTCCACCGCTCGGACCGACCTCCCCCAGGGCGAGTCGGCCCGTCCTGGACCCCCCCCAGGCGATCCAAGACCCCCCGCGCCCTCCCAGGCGAGCGGGGGCGCCTACGGGAAAAGCCCACGCCTAAGCTCCCCCTTTTAAGGGAACCTTGGCGGGGGCGATCCGCGCCGGGGCGGCAGTCGAACCCTCCTGGGCGATCGACCGCGGCAGATTCCTCCCGCACAAAAAAAAAAAAAAAACAACACACAAAAAACACAACAAAAACACAAAAAAACACAAAACAAACACCGGACGGAACATAAAACAAAACACAAAAAGACACAAACGCCACACATACACACACACACAAAAATGACTAAATTATGGCTCTGACTTTGTACACCTGTCTCGGGCGCCGCGGCATTCTCAGAGCGTTCCAGAACGCTCTCAGAGCGTGATGGAACGCTCTGGGGAACGGATTCGCTCTTGCCCTCAAACCCCGTCCGAGCCCTGCCGCGCTGGGCGCTGCCCGCAGGCTCGGGAGCTGCAGCGCGGCACGGCACCAAGCGGCCAGAGGTCCGGGCGTCAGCGACGACGACGACGATGACGACGTCGTCGCTCGCTGACGGCCCTGCCCGTGCTCGGGGCGGCAGAGCAAGGCAGGGAGGCTCGGCGCCGTGCGCAAGCATCTTGCGCCCAAAGATCGCCGCGCCGTGCTGCCCGCTGGAATGGGGCCCTGGGACACACAAAGCAATCGACACAAGTCCCAAGATTCCCCATCTTTTCCCATATGTTGCGGGTCTTCGTCTCTTCCCCATACCTCCAAATATTTTCCACATTTTTCCCTGGGAGTCGACAATTCCCTGTGCCTGTGCGTTGTTGTTTCCCCTCCCGAGATCGGCGGCCCAGCCCGTGCAGAGAGATCCAGGTGGTGCATTTGTTCTCTCACGCCCGGCGCTCTCTCGCACGGCTCCGCGGACCCCTGGGCACCAGCACAGATCGCTCGGTCCAGGGCTCCAAGCGTGACGCTTCGCTATGTGTGAGCGTTGTCTTATCCGGCGTTTCGACACTGGGCGGGATAGCAGCTCGCCGGCCGAAACACAATCGAGCATACCCGGCTAACCACACGTAGGTTAGCGGAACCGACTGGGGACGCCACCGGCACACTTAAATGCCCATGTTGTACGAGCCGGTGCAGATTTCCTCGTAATCGTTTTCTTATTCGGCGTTTCGACATTGAGTGGAAGGGGAAAGGAGAGAGGTGGGGAGGTCTGGCCCCAGACCTCTGCTTAGTGCGACTGTCTGAGACAGTGCGTCCTATGGGGGAGACTCCACCTGATGGAAACAGGCGCCAGAAACAGCCAAGATCTACTCCAAGGGAGGGGGTGTGAGGGCCCGCGCCGATCGGCAAAACAATGGATAAGACAACGAGCGCTAGACTATGCCGCATGTGCTTCGCAACGTCGGACCTCAGCGGGGCTGCAGCGCGAAGCTGCACGAAGAGGTAACGTGCTGCAGCCAGGGCCACGGGACAAGACCGCACGCTGGAGGCGGGGCATGCGGAACAGACGTCGCGCAGCTCTTTAGGGAGCAACTCCTAGGAGATCTGCGACGGAAAGATGCAAAGCACCATGAAAGGGCCATTGCGCGGGCAACACTTATCCATACCCTGTGCGTCTTGGATTTTCTTGGAAGGGGCACCGCAAGGCCGAAACGCACTGGATATGGGCAAACATCGAGCCTCTAGGAGCCGTATTCTTATCCATATTCGGCGCGCCTCGGGGTTCTGGAGAAGGGAGTCCGAAACTCCGAGCTCCAGCGGATTTGGACACAAGTCTTGCCCGCATACTGAGCCAGATTAGCCCGGTTGAAGCCGAACAATAATCCCGAATGAGACGGATCACGCGGGATCGAGCCGAAGTAGACGAAATTAGGGCGGATCAGGGCGGTCTTCAACTACGGACATACCAGCGCCGACGCTGAACGTAACCTCCCGAGGAGTGCATCCTACTCAGGAGTTCGGTTGTTCCCATCGTAATTAAGGACCACATCCCTGACAATTTTTCGAGCACCCAAGAAAGTATCGAAACAGCGTCGAACGAGTATCACCTTCCAGGGCCCGACACGTGAAAACCCTCAAGTTTCGGTACTTTCTTGGTGCTCGGAATTCTCTCTGGCGGTCAAGGCTACAGTGGGTTGGGACACCATGGCTCAGCTGCAGCGCGGGGCTGCAAGGCGAGTGAGCACGCTGCAGCCGGGGGGGCCACGGGGCGTGACCAGCTGCGGGCGGTGGCGAGTGCGGGGCCGACGTCGCCAAGGTCGGATCGCTCGGCTGCACGGAACAGACAACGGCAGCGTCATGTCACAGGCATCGCTCGGTTGCAGGTCGGATCGCAGAGGCAACGTCACTCCACTTGGGCGAAAGGGCCCAGGGACACACAAATAAATACACACAAACCCCAGGATCCCCCATAGTTTCCCATCGTTTGGGGATTTCCGTCTTCCACCCCAACTTCCCATGTTTTCGCACATGTTCCTGGGTATCGACTGTTCATGGTGTCTGTGTGTTTGTGTTCCCCTCTTGGATGGGTCAGACAACCGTGCAAACATCCACTCTCGGCTCGGCGCTACACCTCCCCCTCCCAGTGGCCTGGAGCGCGCCCTCTGGCGGCGCCGGTGGCGCCGCCACGGAGGCCCAGCGCAGGTCCACGAAATCCGCGCGGACCTTCGAGAGAGCCTGATTCTGACCTTCTTTCGTTTGGCGGCGCACACAATGGGGTGGAGGGAGGGGGGAGGGCTTCTTAGAAGGAGGCTGCTTCTTAGAATGCCCCGGCCTTACATCTATAGGCAAGGCCAGCGCCGTCTAAGAAGCAGGGGTGCTTCTAAGGAGCATTCCCCCTACCCCCCTCTGCGCGTGGCCAAATTTTGGCTCTCTTTCATCTTCGATACATCCGCACATGCTGTGTTCCGAGCATCCGTTCCGCAGACGACGCACGGCAGGTTCGCGCGGCGTCGGGGCGTGCAGAGGTTTTCGACACCGCGCCGATCGCTCAACCTTGAATCGATCGCGGCCCCGATCGTTCCAGGTTGGATTCCGTCGGGCCCTATGGCGTCATCGTGTCCCTCGGTGCTTCCGCGTCGCAGAATTGACTACCTACCAAAATCACCCCGACCCAACCCGAAGACCCGAATTTCGGGTTGAGGGGGTACTGGTCCCCTGTGTTTTTCCGTGTTGCCCGCCCCCCCTCCCACTGGGAATGTAAGGCACATTGAGGCCTTCGGGTTGGGTTAGGGTGGTTTGGTGGGAGGTGAAGAATTCAACCTCGAACGCCTTCGCTTGCGTCGCCGGCGCGCCAAAACCTACGGCTTCTCTCGAGCGCGCCCACACCTACGAAGAGACAGCCGGTCTCTTCTGCTGCAGCCAGGGATGCCGCCTCGAGGAGGACGACGACGAGGGAGGGGGAGGAGGAGGCGTAGCAGGAGGACGAGGAGGAGGAGGAGAAAAAACCGTCGAGGATCGACGGGATCGCTCGAGAACCTGCAGCCTCGACGCCAGGGAGCACCTCCCACATCGGGGTCGGGGGCGGCCAAGAAGGGGGGCGTCCAAGAGGGGGGTACCCTCTGCGGCCTGCAGGCTGACGGAGGTCCGGGCATCGTCGCTGGCAGAAGTTCTCGGAACTGGGGCGGAAGAGACACGCCCATGACAATTGCAGATTTGCGTCAACTGCTCGTGTGTCTTCTCCTGCTTGTGAGCGCACGCCTCCAACGTGGAACGAAACAACCGCCTCCTGGCCACATTCTGCCCGCAACCTGAACCCCAATCCCTCCCAAAGCGCCGTCCTCCGCATACTTTTTGCAGCCACGTCCGACCATGGCGACAAGGGAGCCCCGAGTGCCGCTAGAAAGACCATCAGGGCCTGAAACGAGCCAGTTAAGATCTTCGGACGACGTCGGCAGAGCTGGAGAACTTAACACTTGCAGGAAACTGGGCAGGGCTGGAAAGGAGCGGAACCACTGGTCCTGGCCACATGTTTCAACTTCCCTGCAAATTAATGAGCTCTAACTTCCGCTGGAAGTCCCCGCGGCCCCTGGAGGTCCCGACCGCTTCCCTGGGGGTACTTTCTGTTGCCCCAGACGCGTGGTATAAGATCCCGTGGCCCTGCACATGGCCCCCGAGGCCGAGATCGAGGAAACAACGACGGTGGAAAAAAAACACATCGTTGGATATCTGGGGATCGCGAGCATGCATCCCCCTAGATCCGCCGTTGCGAACAGAATCCAGCATCGGGACAACCACGACCCTGAGCCCAAGACCCAATCTTCCCGCGGCATTTTTCGAGCCGCGTCGATCTGTAACTGTCTCTGGGCCCGAAACCGGGCGAATACGCCAGGTGAGAAAAAATGCAAAGCCAGGATGAGGAGGAGGAGGAGGGAGGAGGAGGAGGAGGATCTAATCTCAGGGTTCCCTGTGGAACAAAAACGCCGCGGGCATGCGCACTTCATCTTCAGCGCGCCCGAGCCCGCCCTCCCTGGAGGCGGCTGGGGGTTCGGCGCTGAGTGGGCCCAAGGAAAGAAAATCACGGGTGGGGGGGCGTGAGGGCAGGTCCGCCAAAAAAATGTTCCCAGACCCTTCCCCAGAACGAAAGCGACACATTTTTCGAGCCGCGTCCAGCCGTCGCGACGATGAGGCCTCTTTCTCTCCCTTGTCTGCTGGCCACAACCAGCGCTGGGACACCTTAGCCTCCCAGCTGGCTCCGTCTTCATCCTCAACGCACCCAGGCCCGCCCTCCCCCTCAACGGCAGAACGGATGTGGCGTGGAGCAGGGACCGACCATCCCGGCATTCGGGGCATTCATAATATAGGCCTACCACGAGTTTCTCTTTCAACCAAAGAGCGTTCTAAGCACAGAAACAATGTTCTCAGACCATCAAGCCGACATGCCAAAATCAGACTGCCTCAACCAAACGTGATCTGTCATCTGACAACATCTCTCGCAACACACAACAGGCAATTATACTGCAAGCCAAGACGCGTCGCCACTGCTTGAGGGGGTGAGCTTTTGATTCATACCTCGGGTCTGCGGCCGCCGTTCGGGACATCCAGGCAACCCCTGAACGCCCTCGGCGAAGCGCTTCTGCTGGAAGGTATCCCGAGGCTGGAAAAGATCCTGGAACCGACGAAGATGCTCGAAATAACCAGCCTCGAGCTTATCTCTGTCCCAAAGATTAGGTCGGGCATGTCCACCTACAGGCGAAGTTTAAAGGAAAAGTGCAACATAATCAACAAATGCTCAAACAGAGTCAAACATAGTCGAAACATCGCCCCCATACTATGTTTGTGATCATGTTGAAAACTGTTCCTATCGAAGGACATGCCCAACTTAACCCTAAGATTGACAAGCCACAAGGCGATGACAAGTTCTGGGGGGCACGCCCTCAAAGCCGAGGGCATCCCTGAGATCGGCGTCGAGGTATAAGGCGATGCCAATCATGGGGGTACGGGCATGTTTCCCGCTGCTAGCGAACACCTCGATGCTGGGCCGATGTTGGGAGGAGGAGGAGGAGGAGATGGAGGGAACGTACGAGAAGGAGAAGGAGGAGGACGAGGAGGAAGAGGAGGGCCTCACCATCCTCCCTTCTCCCCCGCCCCACTGATGGTGGTGGTGGTGGTAGAAAAAGTGACCCATCACTCGAACCTCACGAATAATGCGGCGGGGGCCGCCACCCTGCCCGCTGGCCGTTTCGCCACTGCTTGCAGGGGGGGGGGGGCGCACGGCGCGTCTCCGCGGCAGGCTGCAGGGGGTCGCCACGGCCAGCGCCACCGGCAGCGCCCACCAGTGCCGCTCGAGCAGAGGCCTCTCGACGGCCCACCGCCCACGAGCAGAGGCGCACGGCGGGTCCCGACACGGTTCGGTTCGGCGCGCAAGCTGGATGATTGCGTTCAACCGAAGGGTCCATGATCGAACACCTGGACAGAGTAGCGCCCCGCAGTTGCGGATAAGAATTCGGGTGCGCGTGGTGGGTCGGTGCTTGGGTCGCAGGGTTGGTCGCGGGCTGGGTCGCAGGTGAGTCGCGGGGGCGGGAGAAAATCAGAACAACAGCAGCAGCAACAACAGCAACAGCAACAACAGCAACAACAGCAATAACAGCAACAATAACAAAAGCAACACCGACAACAATCAAGTCAAGACTGTTCGCTCGTATCTGCTCGAAGGCCATTCGACACGTGTATCCAAACCTTGAATGCACGCCCTCTTCGTCTTCGATCGTACCCCCTTGGTGTGTATATATATATATATAGATATATACACACGTCTACTAAAACCATCGCGCGCGCTTCGCGCGCGCTATGGTTCTAGCTGGTCGAGTGCTCACCGCATTGAGACAACAAGGCGGCCATGAATAAACAAACCACGATTATCTGTTTCCTCCTGTCTCTTCCTCATTCCTCCTCCTCCTCCTCCTCCTCCTCCGCTCTCATCAACCAGTCGACTGGTGATCTGTCGCCAAGCTATGGGCCAGGAAAAATGCAGCGCTACAGTGCCATGTTGCACTATGCTATGGAATGCACTGATACACCATGCCACGCGATGAAGCGCAATGCCACGATGCAGTATGCAATGCAAGAACATGATATAATATACAGTGCGCAATGCATGCCATGCCATGTTGTGCTATGAAATGCTTTGGTAATGTATGGGATGATACGCTGAACCATATCATGAGATGTTCCCTATGAAGAGCGATGCTACCGCGTTACATGGTATGTGCAGCCACGGCGTGCCGGGCTATGCAATGCAACGCACTGCAAAACAATGCAACGCTATGCCACGCTGTGAGCTGCTAGGCTAAAACAAACAGGACGACAGACATTAAGAACAACATCGGGGGTGTGATATTGGCATGCGTTCTGTTTACTGTTGCGCAGAGCAGTGCGGTGATGTGCGATTAGTGCATGTGCATCGCGATGCCATAGTACGCCACGGTGTGCCATGTGATACCATGCAATGCTCGACAATGCTACTTCTTGACGTGCACTGCTAGGTGCAACTACACACTGCTATGGGATGCAATGTTATGGCACGCTGAGCCATACTATGTTATGCACTGACACGGTAGCTCTGTCGTGCTGTGCCGTGCCACGCCATGTTATGCAACGCTGCGATGGCACGATCAACTAGGCGGTCCTCTGCTATGCACGGGTATGCTTCGGAGGCCTCTTGAAGGCAATTTGGGGTGTTCCTGGGCCTCTTTTTGGGCCTCTGTGGGGCCTCGTGGGGCCCCTACGGTGCCCCTCGGGGGGGGCCTCTTAGGCTCTCGTGGGGACATAATTTGGTCTCCTGGGGGCCTCCTGTGGCGGAAGGCTCCAATTGTCCGTTCATCCCCCCTCTTGGGCCCCTCTTGGGGCCGTCTTGGAACCCTCTTGGGCGATGTTGGTCGCCTCTTAGGCCGTCTTGGGGCACTCTTGGGCATTCGTGGGGCACGCTTGGGCCGTCTTGGAACCTTTTTGCTCTGATGTGGCGCCCTGTTTGGGTGCCTCTTGGGTCGTCTTGAAATGATTTCTGGCGCCTCGTGGGCTTTGGGCCGTCGGAAACATGAAACAGCGAAAACGCAGAACACCTTCAAACACCATAAGACATTACCTTTGCGAAAGAACCAAACACATGCACTTGCGAGTACCGTCGTAGTACGCACCGCGTTCGGAGGAGCTCCCTCGTAGGGCCACGGAACGCGTGAGCGGTGTGCTAACATGTGCCCAGTGGGCGCATGTAAAAGCAACCGTTGGGGCTGTCGGTGGAATTTCCGGTGGGACCACGAAACGCGTGGAGTGCGCCGAAATAGGTGCGGCGGGCGCGTGCGAACGCAACCATTGGGGCCTTCGGTGGGGCTCGCTATGGTGCCGCGAAGCGTGTGTACCACACATCTATGATATGTGCCTCGAGGTCCGCTTCTGATTCCTCATAAATAATAAGACGGCGTCCGTATGCCTGTGGTGGTTCAGCTTCTGGAGCTTCTCTGGCGTCGCTGTGGTGCGTCGGTGCGTCAACCAGTTCTTCAAACTTCGCCGTGTCTTGGTCGAAGCCCGCTCGAGGTCTAGTGGACTTCAAGCACTGGATGGTCCTCGAATGTGCTGGTCCGGTTATATCTTATATATCTAAGGCAGCGCTTTCGGCTTCATAAATGTGGAAGCCCCGATTCACGTCGTTGTCATAGAGCACGAATGTACATCTGTCAGCATCAGCCACCGGGGGTAGCTTGTGGATACTCTTAGCTAACCTGACGGAGACTACGTTCTCGATACGAAAGGAGTTCCTGATGAGGCATTGAAGAGCCAAGTGTGCTTTAGGAGATGGTCGGCGCGCACTTGTCATCCGAAGCGTTCCCTTTCGGATCAGGATGTAGCTAGCAAGTCGCCCTGCAGGTAGACTGGCTACGGATGTCAACACAGTCCGTAAGGCTGCGCTGTCTGAGCCAATTCCTCGAGCGATCAAAGCTTCGATGTATAGTGAATGTCGTGCGACGCCGCATTGGACTTGCACCTCGTTGTTCCCCACTCTTATGATGACTTGACTCCTGTCGGGATCGTTTCGTACGACAGGGAAAGACCCATTCCAGCCACCCCAGTCGTCCTTTATAGTAGTGGGGCGATGATGGTCGACTAGATCTCCTTCGTAATAATAGTGCTGGCCATTGATGGCAGTCTTGGTCCGTGGTGCACGATTGGTTTTAGCAGCTGCCGTGGTTTGAGTCAAATTCTCAATGCTTGCCCGGCGGATAGTCTGTTTTCGAGAAAGGTCGGATGTTTCCGTCTGTTGTTCGCGGTCCAGAACAGGCCGGTCGGGTAGCATCGCTGGTTGTCGTCCAAACAGTACGTTGCATGGAGGCACCTCGGGGTGGAAGGCGGGCGCGCTGGCGGCACATAAGGCTTCATGCAGTAGATGTGTGAACACAAGAGGTATGTCTGACCTGTTGAGTTCAGCCTCCGCGACGTGAAGTAAGTGTCGCAGTATGCCACTTCTGTCTTGAATTGTCGTAGCGTGTTGTCCACGCGCACGTGCCCTCAGCTGAGTGCCTTTTGCCTTAAGGACTGCCCTTCCGGCGTCGTTGTTGAGTGCACCCCCTCCGTCGGTGCAGAGTACTTTGGCAAGTCCAAATTGCACCCAGCACGGATGATACGCATCTGAGATGCTGGTCATAAACTTCTCTGGCATCTCGATTCCAACACCATATCGAACGCATCGATCTATGATGAAATGGATTGTGGCCCTGCTTGTAGAACACCAGATCGCATTCGACTTTATAATTGACTTTGCCGGGTTGTACAGTGGGCGGCGTCACGGCATGCCCTGGCTCATGCCAATCCCTGCGCTCCCGACGTTCATCGCAAACGCTCTTCATCAGGTGCCTGACGCTGTCCAGACCAGCCTTGGTTAAAATGAGTCTCATCCTAAGCTCTTTGGCGCGGAACCACTGAAAGTGCAATTTTCGCAAGTTGCCGCGCTTGGGTCAAGGCTGCGCAGTATCTGTAGACTTTTTTGCAAATCGAACCTTGGCCAGTCTGGAAGTCCTGGACGAGCGGCAGGGTCGCCAGCAGGTGGTGGTGGAGGTGGATCCTCTGCTTGCTGCCGACCTCGTCTAGCCACTATCTTTGGTAGCCGTCTGTGATCGCCCGAGCTGCCGGCTCCGCTCGAGGCAGGTTGCCCCGCGGCCGGTTCAGCGGCATGTCTGCCTACTGTGATGTCGCGGCTGCTGGCGCCTGCTGTTGTCCCAGCTCTGGGACCAGGCCTCGGAGCTCGTGGCCGCGCATTTTGCTGGGCATCTGGTCCCTCGGATGCGGCTGCCGCCGCAGGTGGTGGTGCTGGCGGTTCGGCAGGAGCCGGAGGCCCCTGTCCGCGGTTGTCAGGCAGCTTCCACGGTTGCGCAAATTTGCAATTGGCAGGCGCGCGCAGGTGACCAGGCTTAGCCTGACCGTAGTTCTTCTTGCAGCTCGGGCATTCCAGGTGGTAATCCCCCTTGTCGCACCACCTGCAGTGTTTAGGGTCCCTGTCGTGCGAAGGCGGGTGCGCGTTTACGTTGTCCGCACATGCTGGACATCCCCACCCTCCTGAGGGTGGTCTCAAGATCGATCCGTCAGGGCGCCGACGGGTAGCTGGGTCATCCAAGTCGAATCCTCGTATGTTCGTGACGAGAACAGAAGATGAATGAGGATGACAATGAAAAGAATCACGGTATACAAGGAACATGTCATGTGCAACTTGAGCTGCTTCGACGAAGAAGGGCTGCATCTTCGGAGTACATTGGACTGCCGTCACCAGGACCTTGTTACAAACCGAGGCATGCCGATGATGGCCCGTGCACCGTTTCCGCTCGAAGGGCGTCCGCAAGAGACGGTGGTTGACCACTATTTCAATCAGACTTCGTATTAATACCCCATGGGAGGCGCGAAGACCCGCGGTACATTGGCCCACGTTTGCTCTGCGAGTGCCCTCGCGCTTGGACAGTGTAGTCCATGGTGGTATTTCACCCCTCCGAGCACCCGCTGGGAAATCATTTGGACGTACGGCGACCCCTCCACATAACTTGACGCGTGGTAGGTCTCCCCTGTGGAATTTATGCCACGTGTCGTAGTTGACCTTAGAGCTGAAGTAGGCCGGCAGTCCAATCGCAGTTGGATTGTGGTATAACAACGTAACAACGTTGACAAAGCACGCGTCCAGGTAGTGCATAACTGCGTCCTAGACTTCCTTGTTTCTCATGTCATCAGGAACGTTTGTCGAGGTCCCCCCCGAGGATAAACCTCGGCTGAACGCTAACTGCGTCATGCCCCCATTACCCCCGCACAATTCCAGCATGTC